ACACCTCATTTATTGCACTTCACTGTATTGCACTTTACAGATACTGCCTTTTTTTTTTTTTTTTTTTTTTTTACAAACTGAATGTTTGTGACAATCCTGAGTCGAGCAAGTCTATTGACGCCATTCTTCCACTAGCGTTATTTTTTAACTAAGGTATGTGCATTGCTTTTTTTTAGACATAGTGCTTTTACACACTTAATAGACTACAGTATAGTGTAAACATAACTTTTATATGCACTGGAAAGCCAAAAAATTCGTGTGACTCACTTTATTGTGATGTCCGCTTTATAGCGGTGGTCTGGAACCAAACCCACAGTATCTCCAAAGTCTGCCTGTATTATAAAAATCAAGGGATGATTATATTTTGTTTCGCCTAGAACTTTAGCAAGGTGTTCACCCTTTCAGAAACCCCATCACCAAGATTTCAGGTCCTGACTCCATCTCTTAACTACCTATATAACCCTGGTCAAATTAGTCACCATCTCTGCCACCACACCCTCACGTCCAAATTGGAGATAACACCCCTAATAATAAGGGTTAGAATAAGGATGAAATGAGTTAATCCACGTAGGACACCTGGAAGAATGAACACTCGATATATGTCACCTAGTAATATCTTTATGATGACGATACTGAACTGAAGACACCATGTTTTCCACTGTACCATGTTGGCCACAAACGAATATTTTTAGGAATTTTCAACATACCCTAGTGATGTGTTTTACTCTCTAGGGGATAAAAGACAAGAGTCTTGCCTGCCTTCATAAGCCTTCTGATCTTGAAAAAGGCTAATAATGACCCAAACAAGGGGAAAACAAGGCAGTGTGTACAAATGCTGAGGCTCTCAAGGATGCTACGTGATGCGGGTAGGACACAAACAGTAAGAGTGACAATGGTCAGGAAGGGGGATCTGCATGGTCCTGAGAGATGAGGGATCCGAGGATAAAGGAGTCCTTGAGCTGAGGCTCAGAGGAAGACCTGAGCAAGGCTGTGTGACCACAGACTAGTTACTTAACCTCTCTGAGCTTTGGTTTCACCACTAGTGAAGAGTAAATCATCATAACAGTTGATACATAGTGAGCATTTATGTAACAGCAAGTAAGATTATAAGCATGTTGCGTGTATTAAGTCATTTAGTTCTCCCAACAATCCTATGAGGGAGCTAAAATTATTATCCCGTTGTACAGATGAGAAAACTAAGGGCCTGAGAGGTTAAATAATAAATCACCCCAGGTTGCAGGGCTAGCAAATGGCAGAGGTACCCTGCCTCCTTGTGAGGTTGTTGTTGGGCATGGATATCAGGCCCCAAACACAGAACACATAATAACTGTTCATTAAACGATGGTCATATGAGAAAGTAAGGATCCTGGAGGGGATCATCAAACAGTGATGACAGAAGGGCTATTATGTACCTGGGGCCTCCATGCTGCACCTACGCGTAAAGATCCAGGGTCTTGTTTGTCTCTGTGCCCTGTGCCTAGCACATCTCCTAGGCACTTGCGGAGGCTTCATAAATGCCAGCTGAATAAGGAAGAAAGGGAGGAAGGAGGCAGAGAGCCACAGCAGGCATTCCCTGAACTGCCTCCCTGAAGCACCTGCCAGGTGCCAGATATTTTGCTTGCTCCTGATAAAGCAGGGCACTTTGCTTCTTCCCCCTCCCCAAGAGAAGTTTCTTGCTGCAGAAGCAGCCAGCTCCACTGATTTTTTTATAGGCCAAACACAGGGGCCATGAGAGCTTCAGCAGAGCCCAAGGGCAGCATTATTCTGTCAGCCTCATCGCAAAGCCCGACAAAGATCCTTTCAGAATGATTAAGCCATGAAGTTCCTATCTGTCCCTGTGAGCACAGGCACTAAATGGAATTCATACCCCCAAACCCTGACCACATTTCCCAACATCCCGCCCTCTCCTCCTGAGTGAGGCAAGAGTGGAGTGTTTGCTAAAGATCTCAAAGTCCAGCTCTGTGCCAGGTGCTGGGGGAGCTTCTGAAGCAGCTGGAAAGACAGTGGAGGGGTGGTTGCCAGAATAAGTGTCCCCCAAGGATGTGTAAATCCTACTTCCCAGAACCTGTGAATTTATGTTATTTGGCACGGAAAAATTAAGGGTGTAGATGGAATTAATGTTGCCAATTAGTTAGCCTTAAAATGGGAAGATTGTCCCAGATTATCTAGACAGCCCAATGTAATCACAGGGGGCCTTGAAAGTAGAAGAGGGAGACAGAAGACTCAGAGTCAAGAATGCGAGAAGGACTCAACCCACCACTGCTGGCTTTGAAGATGCAGGGAGGGGCCATAAGCCAAGGAACGCAGGTGGCCTCCAGGAGCTGGAAAAGACAAGGAAACAGATGCCCCCCCTAGAGGCTCCAGAAAGGAGGCAGCCCAGCCCTGTCAAACTTTTAAACTACAGAACTGTAACACAACACATTTCTGTTGTTTTAAGCCACTACATTCATGGTTATCTGTTACAGCCACAGAACACCAATACAGTTGGGTATTGACTGAGAATATGGCTTGGAATCTGAGCGTCCTGGCCTTGAATTCGAGCTCTGCCATTTATTAGCAGCATGACCTTGGACGACTTCTTGGGCCTTTCGGAGCCTCGGGTTCCTCACCTGCAAAATGAACGTAAAAGCCGCTACCCAGAGATTTACTGGGGGGTTTAATGAGTTAATTCATGTAAAGCATTTAGTAGATGACCTACCACATATGAAGTGCTCAACAGTAACAAAAGACAAATGCTGAAGAAGCAGAAGACAATTAGCAAACCATACATTAAGCCAGGGGGTATCGATCTCCTTTGTGAATGAGATCAGGAATCAGAGGGTTCAGGCTTTGAAGCTCCACTCTGCCACTCAGAGCGGGATTGGGACAAGTCACCTAAACTCCTTGATCACCCACCCACTCTCTGCCTCAGAGGTCGTTACTGGGGTCAAATGAGACACAACTGTCAACCAAGCACTAGGTAGAGTCCATCCACCTCTCCCCAGGTACCCTGTGCTGCGAGGTGGGTCCAGGAAACACCCTCGCTCACAGGGCCATGGCGAGCACCCAGGCAAAGGAGGTGCATGAAAGGGCTCAGTCGTCTCAAAGTGCCATCCTCCCCGCTCCCGGACTCTCTCAAAACACAGCCTGCTTCCAGAAAAACAACCCACAGGCATTAGAGAGAAAAACAGAAAGGATTTAATCACACGTGTTATTTGATTTCTTTTAGTCACTGGGCACATGGGCCAGGGTGAATTTTCATGGTTGGGGAAATTCTTTGAAGCAAGTAAAAGAAAGATCTGACTTGGGATTATCCTGTCCACACAGCCTTTCTGGAGGGAGCGTGGCTGGAGTCCCTGGATGTTTTACCTTCCTCTGGTGTCTCTCGAAAATGAGCACAAGAGTCAGGGTCAGGCTCATGGCAGCCAGGGTCACGAGCAGCACACCCACCCAGTGGTTCCCCAAGGCGAACATCTGGCTGGTGGAGTAGATGTTGGCCCATACCACCACGTAGAACACCTGCAAGAAGCCAGAGAAAGGGCACGGTCAGGAACACCAGTCCTCAAATGGAGCAGCTCCATTCCAAGGGACACCCTCTGGCCACTTCTGACGCCCTCCATGGATGCGCGAGCTCACAAGGCCAGTCAGAGACTGATGGGGGCGGGAGATTGGGGTGGTCTGTGAGAATGGGCCCTTGTTCCTTGTTCAAAAGCAAAGGGAGAGGCAAGGGGTTAGAACAGCTACTCCAAATCCTTGCTTACTCTGAATTCAAATAAAACAGAAAAGGGCAGGGGGCTTGGGAGTGAGATAAATTTGAATCAGAAGCCCACGTTGATCCTTCAACAGCTAGGTGGCCTTAGACAAGTTGTAACAACTCTCTGGGCCTCAGTTTCCTCATCCGTAAAATGGGGATAATAATACCTACTTCACAGTGTTGTTATAAGGGTTAATAAGATAACCTATGTAACAGCCTAGCACTTCTTAGGAAATCAGTAACTGCCAGTTGCCATCCCTTCCGCTCCTAGAAGCAGGACATGGGAGTCAAGAGTGCTTTTTGACCATTTATACATACAGAGGAGTGGCAGGTCACAGTGGTTAAGAGCACAGATGCAGAAAACCAGAGTGCCCGGGTTCCAACACTGGCTGTGCCATATTCTGTATGCCTGTGTGTGTTTACGTATATATATAGGTGTATATATGTGTTTACATGTATACACACACACGTATATGATTAGAGCTGAAACAGACCAATCTGTTGAACAGATGGGGAAACCAAGTCCCAGAGAGGAGGAAAGCCTTGACAAAGCCAGACACTGAGTCCAGAGCCTCAGTGGTGGGTCTACAGACTCCCAATCCCCCAGCTCTGCCCTTAATAAACCCTGCTTCCCATCCTCTGCATGCGGAGCTGGTTACAACCCTCCCCCATGAATCTCCTCTTACACCAAACCCAGGTCCAGGTGTACTGCTCTCTCCCAGGCAGCCCAGCCACCAGCCCCCAAACCCGTGACCCACACCAACAGACTCCAGGGCACTGTGCCGAATTCAGCAGTGCCTCAGAGGCCTCCCTCGCTCTTACCACAGCGAAGGCCAGCCGCATAGGCCTCGAGTTGTAGATGATGTATCTTCTCACTTGGGGCTCCAAGAGGGCACTCTCAGCCAGGCTCCTGTACTGCTCAGCCGGGACCTGCTTGGCCACCCAAGGGAAAGAGACCCGTCAGCCACGGAGAACCACGCCCCACTCCTGCCCACCAGCAGGGGTGTTGTGGCCAGTTCACGTGGCTATCACGTGGAAGGGGGATGAGGTGCATTCCTGGCTGCCTGCCCCCAAAGGCAGAATGGGGAGCATGGAGCATGGCGTGGCAATCACAGGGTGCAGCTTCCAGCTCAGAGAAGGACAGGCACCACTGGGGAGGTGGGACAGCTCGAGATCCAGGAGGACATCCAGGAGAGGGATCCCTGAAGCCCAAGGCTCAGCACCTCACAGCAGACCCAGGATAGCCTAACGGTTAAGGTGCAGGCCGTGGAGTCAGCCAGCCCTGGGTCTCCAAACCTTGGCCCTGCCCCTCATGTGCTGTGTGACCTGGAGCAAGTAACCCCACTTCTCCTCAGTTTCCTCCTCTTTAAAATGAGGATAGGGACTTCCCTGGTGGCGCAGCGGTTGGGAGTCCACCTGCCAGTGCAGGGGACACGTGTTCGTGCCCTGGTCCAGGAGAATCCCACATGCCACGGAGCAGCTAAGCCCGTGCGCCACAACTACTGAGCCTGCGCTCTAGAACCCATGCTCCGCAACAAAAAGAAGCCACCACAATGAGAAGCTCCTGCACCACAACAAAGAGGAGTCCCCACTTGCCACAACTAGAGAAAGCCCGGGCACAGCAACGAAAACCCAATGCGGCCATAAATAAATAAATTTTTTTAGATACATAAATAAAATGAGGATAATCAAAGTACACCTTGTAGAGGTGATAGGCATATTAAATAAGATAATACACATACAATATTTACAAGAAATACAATAAATATACGTACAGTATGTAGACACATTATCTGGACATCTTTGGGGGCCTCTGTTCTCTTACTTAGATAGATATGTGTGTCTAAGTGTATGTGTACACAAGCCCGGTGCTGGTTCCATAGTGAACACTTGATACACGAGTGTTATTCTCGAACTGTACCATCAATAACTTTTAATACAGTCCAAGATACTGAAAATTCACATCTTCCTGCCCAAACAAAAAATGTCATAGAGCAAAGGTCCTATGAGAATGGATTGCTTAAGAACACAGAATTTAATCATTCGAGATATTTAGGAACATGGTAGAACAAGATGTAAACTGTTCATCAGTTAAGACCCAATCTGAAGACAACTGTTTAAGAAAAATGTTCTTTTGCACAAAGGCTGAAAGGGAAGCGTGGGAAGTAAAACCAGCTCATGTGCTGATGTGGGGCTAGTACTGTCAACTTGGAAAGTTTCCCTTTAATGGTGATAAAATGTTGTTTTAAACCATGATGCAATTCTGTTTTAAAGGAGTAAACTCTCAAGTCTTCAGTGTAAAATTAGCAATGTAGCTTCCTCAGCCATAAATAATCCTTGCTGGGCAGTGAAGACGAAGGCCTAATCATGCTGGAGGATTTGAGAAGGGCAAGAACCACCCCTGTGGGAACTTAATAGCAAAACCACAATTTATTGAACATTGACTACGCGCCAGGGCCAGTGCAAGTGTTCCTCGAGCACTACTCTTAATCCATACAAATACCCTGTGTAATAGGTATTAATATTGCCCTCATTTTACAGATGATGAGACTGTGGCTCAGAGAGGTTAAGTCACCTGCCTAAAGTCACCCAGGCAGTAAGCAGCTGAGCTGGATCTGCATCCAGATCTATGAACCCCCGTGAAGCCTATGCCTCGAATCACTATGCTTGAAGGTACTGCATTATCATCTAATGAATTCATGCACCCTTCCCTTTGCAGAGGCAGTTCCTTCTCCTAAAATGCCCTTCCTCCTGTCCACCCAGCAAACTCCTTTTTTTCCTTCAAGAGCCCAGATCAAGTGTCTGCTCCTCTGCAAAGCTTTTGTTAGAATGAATAAAGGAAATCTCATTTATACTGGAGTTGGGAAGGCCAGTAGGAGGTGCTGTCATGCCCTACCTCTCATTGTCATCTGCAGACTCCAAACACGAAGAGAATCACCTTGCATCTCCAACAGGAAGAAGGTCGGTCTCTGCCTTACACCACCTCAGCAGGAGGAAGGAAGATTTTCTCCTTGCCTGGCAACAGCCCAGCCAACCAGAGGCTGTCACAACTCAGCCAATGAAAAGCCGCTACACTTGGAACCCCCAGTTTCCCCCACTGGCCTCCTTGTTTATAAGAGCCCCTCCCAACTTCTCTTTAACCTCTATAAAAGAACAGTCTTCTCCTTCGTTTCTCCAGACTTGCCCAGTTTTTACTATAGCATGCCTGTCCCGAATTACAACTTTCTGCTATTACCGAATAAACCCATTTTGCCAGTATAATAACTGGCTGCTCTAGTTTTAAGGTGGACACTTTCATAACCACTGCTCCCCGAGCTAAGTTTATCATTTTCTCCTGTGAATGTCTTCAATGCCTTGTGCATCCCTCTACTGCAGCACTTATACCATACTGTTCTCCTTTACCTGACGCATGTCTATCTCACCCACTGGGCTCTGTGAGCAGTGTGACACCAGGCACGGGAACCTAGTCACCTCTGTAGTACTCAGTGACCGCCTAAGTGGCCAGCACAGGGTGGACACCCCAAAACACACATCTGTTAAGTGAATTAACTGGAAGGAGAGGACATCTTCCTTATATCCCCTACCACATTGAGCACAGGGTAGGTGTTTAATAAAAATGTTGTGAATAATTGGATGATAGAATAGATAGACAGACAGACAGGTGGATGGATGGATGGATGGATGGAAGAAAAAGTACTAAGGACTCCATAAAGTCAGCGCTCACCTGAATGCCCCAGGTCTGCAGTTGTTCTTCGGCGGCTCCCAGATCGAAGGAGATGGGTGCACAGGTATTGTCAATCCGGAGAACTGTGAGGACCTGGCCATTGTGGAGCTCTGAAAGCAGACCAGGAGCTTCATTGGGCTGAGCAATAAGGACTTTGGGTGAGCCCAGACCTTGATGGCATCACCTCCTCTGGCCTTGAGAACATTCTCATGGCGAGGAGGGACTTGCCATCCTCCAACCCCTACGGGAAAAGGACTGGACTTGACTGGAAAGCTCCCAGGAGACAGAACTGAGGCCGGAGGCTTTTAGGACATTATTTGAGACCATAAAAGGAAGAACTTCTCAAGAATGTGAGCTGTCCACACACAGTCTGGGAGGTAGTGGGCTCCCCCTCACAAGGGATATTTAAACAGAGATTGAACAACTAATTGCACTGAGAAGATGATCCAGCAGACATTTATTCGAGGATGGCAACGGAAGCGCAACCAAACAACTTACATCCCTGGTGGGCTCGGAGTCTAAGTAAGAGGTAACAATGTGGTAGGCACAACAGTGAACCCCCAAGGATGTCCCCACCCTAACCCCCAGAACCTGTGAATACGTTATCTTACATGGCAAAGGAGAATGGGGGTTGCAGGTGAACTTAATGGTATTAATCAGCTGGCCTGAAATAGGGAGATTACCCTAGATTATCTGGGTGGGCCCACTGTAATCACAAGGATCCTCAAAAGTGGAAGAGAGGGAATTCCCTGGTGGTCCAGTGGTTAGGACTCCATGCTTTCACTGCTGAGGGCACAGGTTCGATCCCTGGTTAGGGAACTAAGATCCCGCATGCCACGCAGCGCAGCAAAAAAAAAAAAAAAAAAAAAAAAAGAAGTGGAAGAGGGAGGCAGCAGAAGAGCCAGGAGGGATGTGACTATGGAAGAAAGGTACAGAGAGATGGAACATTACTGGCTTTAAAATGGCAGAAGGGGACTTCCCTGGTGGTCCAATAGTTAAGAATCCGCCTTCCAATGCAGGGGACGCGGGTTCAATCCCTGGTCGGGGAACTAAGATCCCACATGCCACAGGGCAACTAAGCCCGAGTGTTCTAGAGCCCACGCGCCACGACTAGAGAGAAGCCTGTGTGCCGCCCGCACGCCGCAACTAAAACCCGATGCAGCCAAGTAAATAAATAAATATAAAAGTAAAAATAACAAATGGCGGAAGGCTTCAGCAGCCAAGGACTGTGGGTGGCCTTTAGATGCTGGAAAAGAAAAGGAAACAGATTCTCCGCTGGAGCTTCCTAAAGGAATGCAGCCTTGCTGACCAGGGCTGTCAGGCTGTGAGCCGACAGTCTGGCCAGTGTCAGACTTCTAACCTACAGAACTGTAAGAGAAGAACTGCATTTGCTAAGCCACTGTTAGTGGCACCTGTTACAACAGTCACAGAAAACTAATCCGCTGACTTACGGGCAAGCCCTCCCCAGTGTCTCTGCACTCGCTCAACATTTTAAAAGCATATATCGAGTGAAGTCATACCTCAAAAACACACATCATCTCAGGCTTGTCACAATGGCTATCAAATTTATTCGAGGATGCCCTGCAGGGCTGCAATGAAGCCAGACCAGGAGACCCGAGGGAGGCCAGCTACAGTGAAATCCCCTCGGGTCCAGGCAGGAAGGGCAGCAGAAAGAAGCCAAACCAACTTCCCTTCTGAGTAGAGAAACTCTGAACAAAAGGACCAAGATCTCCTTCCATCACGTACGAGGACCAGGGAGCCACCAGAGAGCAGCTAGGGCAGCTGCTGCAGGGTAGTCCAGCCCTAAGATTCTAGGATCCCAGCGTTCAGCCACGCAGGGCTGGGAGCTGAATATTTCAGCACATTTTCTGTAGCTGTTGCTCCGAAAAGGAGGCAGGACTGAAGGGATTAAACCATGAACATGTTACCTGCTGGCTCAGGGCCCAGCTCGGGGTTAATCCCTGAGACTTAAAGCAAAATGATTAGCTCTACCTTCCTGGGAATCCCTGGCCCACCCAAACGCTCCTCTAACCCCCACCCTGTCCATCCCTGGGCCCTGCCACCTGGGCCAACAAAATCTCTCCCAGCTCCGTGCACCCCTTGGTATCTTCACCACAACCCTAGGCCAGGCTCCCTTCACCTCTCCCTGCACCTGCCGTAGTCTCCTATCTGGTTTCTCCAACCTGCTCTTCCTCTTACAATGCATTCACACAGCAGCCAGAGCACAAATCAGATTAATACAAATTCTCTGGGTAAAACTTTCAATAGCTTCCCAGTCCTCTGGCAAAAACCAACCTCCTCACCAAGCTCCCCCGGCCCTTCGAAGAACTAGCCTCCTGCCAAGCTCACCTTGAAGCCTCAGCCTCCTTCTGTGTCTTGCCACCCCAGCCTCCTTAGCCCCTTGGACATGTAGTGTTCTCTCCCACCCCAGGGCCTTTGTACATGCTCTTCCGGCTCTCTCCCTAGAACACGTCCACCTAGCCTCACTCCGTTATATCCAAGTCATCATTTGTGTTCCAGCTCATTAATCCCTTGCCCAGGGAGTCCTCCCTGACATTCTAAACTCGTAGCAGATCAAATCTGTCGGATAAACGTGCCCATAACTACATGCTCTTCTCCTTTATGCTTATCAAAGATGAGCACATGTGTATGCACACGTATAGACTGTCTCCATCAGACTATATACTCCCACGTTGGTTTTGCACATCACTGAATCCCCTGAGCTGGGTTCAGTGCCAGGTGTACAGTAGGCACTAAATAAATGCTTCCTGTATAAATGAGGTGGGGAAAGCACAAGCTAGATGCTTTGGGGTTCAAATGGTAACTCAGCCTCTCACTAACAGAGCACCTTGAAGAAACAATTTAATCCCTGGCCACCCCCTTAGAGGATGATTATATCCACTGCGGAGGATTTTGCAAATAATTAAGATGATGAAAATTATGGGCTTGGTGCAAAATGGGTACTGAATGCCTGGCTGCTACTGTTGTCATAATTTAAAAGCCAGTTTGTCAAAGCTCCTAAGTTACCATAAAGGCAAACCAGTTTAGCTGTGTTGGTTTTTACCTTCCCACACCTTGTTCCAGAAAGGATTTAAGGTGGCTTCATAAAATAAAATATGAAAAGATAAAATTATAAAATTAGATTTAAAAATAAGCAAATGAGGGAAAACAGACAAAAAGAAGATCAAGACCAAAATAAAACAGAACAATAAAATACGATAAGAATAGCTTCCAGGGACTGATCCCATCCTATGCAACAGGCACGGGCTTAGGCTCACAGTCGCGATTGCATTTAATCCTCCAAGACTCCTAGGAGGTGGAAAACCATTACAATGGAAAAGGAAACTGAACCTCGTAAAGGAGAACCAGCTTGCCTGGTGGTACCAGGGGAAATGAAAGTAAGAAGAGAAAAAGTGAAGAGAAAGGGTAGCATACAAAATGCAGGCAGTCGTGCTGTGCGGAGCCTCAGACTAGCCCTCCACTGCACAGCACAGAGCAGAAAACCCACGCTGAGCTGGATCCCAGGCATGGAGGTTGTGAACCACTCCCCTAGCCTGGCTCTTTGCACTATGAGGACAGTGTTTGCCTAAGCAATGTGAGGACTTTTCATAGTGTCTCTGTTTCCCTTTCAAACCATGAGTTCCTAGATTCTTGGTAATAATCTCTCTTATCTGCTCCTCAATGTGAGAACTGCAAGTCCTCCACTTAGAAATATTTGTTTTTACACCTAGGCTAAGAAAAAGGATCTGAAAAGCTACCAAAGAAGCATGTGTGTGTGTGTGTGTGTGTGTGTGTGTGTGTGTGTGTGTGTGTGTGTGTGTGTGTGTGTGTGTGTGTGTGTGTGTGTGTGGAGGGAGCTATTTCCTATAAAGGGGCAACAACTGGCTTGCCAAAAACCAGTAGAGCTGTATCTTCAAAGGGCTGAAGGCAAATTATTCCATTCCATTTCATTCTACTGGTGTGTGTGTGTATGTGAACTGCTTTCCTAATAACAGTAGTCATAAAAGGAACCCTTGTTTTTAAGTTTTAAATTATCTAAGAAACAAGCCACAATGCAAAATGCCATCTCCCCTTGCCTATGCCCAGCCACTCATTCATTCATTCAACAAAATACTTATTGAGCATCTACTATGGGCAAAGGGCTTCCCTGGTGGTGCAGTGGTTAGGAATCCGCCTGCCAATGCAGGGGACACGGGTTTGAGCCCTGGTCTGGGAAGATCCCACATGCCGCGGAGCAACTAAGCCTGTGCGCTGCAACTACTGAGCCGGCGCTCCAGAGCCCGTGAGCCACAACTCCTGAAGCCCGGGTGCCGAGAGCCCGTGCTCTGCAACAAGAGAAGAGACTGCAATGAGAAGGCTGCGCACCGCAACAAAGAGTAGCCCCCACTCACCGCAACTAGAGAAAGCCTGCACACAGCAACAAAGACCCAATGCAGCGAAAAATAAATAAATAAAATAAATAATAATACAATTTTTAAAATAATAATACTATGGGCCAAGCCATGTGCTAAGTACTATAGACACAGTGATGAACAAAGCAAAACAGGGCCCCTGCACTCGTGGAGCTTACATTCTAGTGAGGAAACTGGACATTCAACACTTTATTACACAGGTAATTATTTAATTACAGACTGGTAATTGCTATAGGGAGAAACAGGAATATATCAGAGGGTCCCAGCTTAGGCTGGGCCATCAGGAGAGGATTCCCCATGGAAGGGATATCTGAACTTAGCTCTGAAGGATGGATGGAAATTAAGCAGGGCAAAGGAGGCAGGGAAAGGGCATAACACACAGAAGGGACAGCAGGTGCAAAGGTCCTGGGGCAGGGCAGCATGGCAGGAACAGAGAACAGGGGCAGCAAGAGCCATTTAGGCAGGCCTGGCAAGCTGGCGAATGATAGGTCTTCATGCTAAGCCTAATGGGAAACACTGAAACAGAAAGTGATTTGGTTGGCTGTGCATTTTAAAAAATCTCTCTGAGACACCATGCAGAGAACAGAAGAGGCAAGGAGGAAAGGTGCTAGGAAGCTACAGCAGGGATCCTGGCAGAGGGCAATCTAAGGAGTTGGTGACAGAGAGAATAGGTAGAAATGACAGAAACTGGCCTGGAAACACATCCCCAAATGCCCACCCTTATCTAAAGACACTTTTGTGCCCCTCCGCTCCCCTCCCCTCAATCATACTATGTGAGTCCAGTTCAGCATCCTGGGGGGATAGGGGAGGAAGGAATTAAGGGTCATGATCCTACCTTGCCCCCAGCCAGGAGGGCTCCCGCCAGGCAGGGCGCTCCACCCAGGGGAGGAGGTGGGCAAGGGGCCGGCCGCCCCGCCGGGGTCCATCTGCGGTTCACACGCCATAGCAGAGCCAGCAGGACGTCTGCTTCCCCTTCTCAGAGCTGTGGTGCATCCTGGAGCAGCCAGCTCAGCTTCGCCTGCCTTCAGAAAACAACATCACGAGAAAGAACTTCAGGCCTGGTCCTGGGCAGGCCAGGCTCCTCAGGCTCTCAAGGCCAAAGCCATCACCAGACCAGTGAGAGCCACCCAGAGTCTTCCCTTGGACTGTGGACTTGCTGATCATGCTGAGGAACGTTCTCAGAGGGAGTGAGCGGCAAGGGCTAAAACCCTCCAAGGCCTTGACTGAGGAACTTCCTCTGCTCTGGGATCTTCTCCAGCTCAGACACATCGAGGGACCCACAGAGAACTCACGAGCTGACCAGGCCCCACTCCCAGGCATCTGGGATTTCCCTTCCGGGAGCCTTGTTTATACAAAGCAGCAAAATGTTATGAAAAGAAAAGAGCAAGGACTTTAGCACCAAAAGACCTAGATTTGAACCTTCACTCAGCCCTCACATGCTCTGGGACATTCACTGTCAAGGTACTTAACTCCCTGAGCCGTTCTGACCTCATCTGTAAAATGGGTTCAGGGAGGCCTATCTGGCATGGCTGCTGTGAGGGTAACACAAGGAAACATAAGTATGGTATGCAGTACCCTGCTCATCATAAGGCCCATTTCCTCACAGGTTTTTCCCATTTAACAGGAGAGAAAACAGAGGGTCAAAGATGTGACATGACCTGCCCAAGGTGGGATGGCTGGGAGCTGTGGAGACAGGAGATGGACCAGGCCATCCAGCTGCAGAATCCAAGCCCATCATGCCCATGCCCCTGAACCTCAGCACCCAGGTCTGGCTATCGCTGAGCCTCCTCCTTAAACCGCCTTAAAAAAGACTGGGTCGGGCTTCCTTGGTGGCGCAGTGGTTGAGAGTCCGCCTGCCGATGCAGGGGATGCAGGTTTGTGCCCCGGTCTGGGAAGATCCCACATGCCGCAGAGCGGCTGGGCCCGTGAGCCATGGCTGCTGGGCCTGCGTGTCCGGAGCCTGTGCTCCGCAACAGGAGAGGCCACAACAGTGAGAGGCCCGCGTACTGCAAAAAAAAAAAAGACTGGGTCGAGGGAGACTGCATTTCCCAGGTGTGATCTAGTAACAAGCTCCAATTGGCATCTGAGCTGCCAAGCTGTGGGAGGGCAGGGACCATCTCCCCTTACCTAGCCCAAGCCTGGCGCACAGCAGGCACTCCCAAATATCACTGAGTACCGGTCAGTCATATCACCCCTTACTTCCTCCCTCTTATCTTGTATCCCCCAAGAGGCATGAAAGCAACAACAACAGCCCAAGGATGTCTGCCCTGCACTTGGCAATAACTGAGGCCCTTTCCTGCTTCACCTGATTATATCCTAGGCCCAGGAGACAAACAGAATCCTTGGATCCATTTTCTAGACCAGGAACCCAGGGACATCATAGCTAGGAACCTGCTGCCCGGAGAAGCTGTACTGGAATCTCAGAAAGTTCCTTGAGCCCACCCTCCCTCCTCCAGGCAGGAGGGACCACCCACAAGCTGGAGCTGCACAGACATCCTTCCAGACTGCATGGAAGGTTCATTAGCTGAGAAATCCCACAACTAGACATTGTCTTTGGGAAGAAGAAATCCCAGCACCCCAGTTGGCCCAATTAGCCTCCACAAAGTCCCAACCAGGAGAATTCATTCATCTGAAGGCCATTTAGCGTAATGGATAAAAGCAACCTGCACAGTCCTGCCACCTCCCACGTGTACGACCTGGAGCAAGTGACTTGTATCTTCCTCAGTTTCTACACATGTAAATGGGAATAATGTAACGAGGCTGTTGTGAGGTTTAAAGAATTCATACCTGAATCACTCAAGTGCAGCACGGGGCAAAAAGGAATATAGCAATCATTATTTTTACTCCACAGACACTCCCTAAGAACCTTCTAGTGCCAGGCCCTGTGCTTTCTAAACTATAAAACCAGAAATAAAATCTTAAGTCCCTGTTCAGCCCTCCCTGCTGGGTACCACCATCTGGTGGGAAAGAGAAACTCAGAGAAAGAGAAATAACAGACAGACAATGACCAAAGAAGGCAGTCAGAGGGAGCCGGCAGCGCCTTGGAATGAGGGAAGAGTTCTTCAGGAGGCTTCTTGGAGCAGGGAAAGA